AGCTGTCGCTGCAGCGAAACAGAGAAAACGACAAAAATCGTGGGGCGGTAATAATTCCGCCGGGATGTTTTTGTACTGACAACTGCCAGTTTGAGGGTATCAAGATGTATCAAGTGATGGGATTATGCCATAACATGCTTCTCATGGGCGGGAAAGTGATTTGTTTGATGACAGATTCTTTTTCAAAACAGGGGACTGTGAGAGTGCAGTTTCTTCCTCCGGGCTTCTGCATTAAGGGACATTTGCCTGAACGTTGGCTGCCTTATATAGCTTTTTGGGGCCGAGATCTCATCTTCTGCCATCAGCCGCCGTCAAGCGCCTGGCAGCCAGGAGAACACGCTCCGCTATTTGGGGCGAGAGCTGGATCGAAGTGCATCGCGTGCGGAAGCCTCCGCCGGAGATGAGGCTGAAGGATGTGAAGGCGCTTGGGACTTCGACCGGCCGAAGAGGAAGACACCTGGGAGTTTTCAGCATGCCGGAAAAATGCATTGACCTGCGGAAGACTACTGTGAACAGGACAGGATGTTTGGGGTTCAACTTCATTCAACTTCCATGTTAGCGAGCTGTGAGTACTGTAAGGAATTTGGCATTTGGATGCATGTTCTGCTTGATTCGCTTTGCCCTGGCCTGAAATAGGAACAAATTGCTACAGCAGTTGACTTCCAGAATGTTGGAGGACTCAATTCCGAGACATTGTTTCTGATCTGTTGTGTATATTTGTTTCCGAAACAGCCTTCATGGAAAATGGCAGACCTTGACCAGGTGAGGATGATGCGTCAGATGAACAGGAGGTGAGCCGAAGCACCGATGTGCGAGAGGGTTGAAGCAAAGATTCGACCAATAGATTCAATGTGAAGAGTTGAATCCAACCATCCATAGAAACCATGTTGACCGCCCATGAGTCTGCAACAACCCGTGATCTATTTCATGGTGTTCGCTCTGAATGGCACAAATCTGTGTCGACCGTCCATTCATCTCAGCCACTTCCAGTTGCCTTGGACAGCTGGCTTTTCATTGCTATGAGCTGATACTCCATGGATCTCCATGGTTTCACCACTTTGTTTTTCTCACTGCACTGGCCGAGGCCGAGGAAGAAGAGGATGCGGACGGAGGAGCTGCGCCACTCACCATGTCCACGCACGGAAAGCGTCAGACGCAGGGAGGCGTGGAGAAGCGATCGTGGGGTGCGGGTTTTCTTGAGACCAGATCCCTTTTGTAAGGGAACACTTTGTTGAATTCAGTAACTCAGTAATGCATTCTTTTCTCACGTGTTTCTCACCATGCATTACTCAGTTCTTGAATTGTTTACTTTTGGATACTGGTGATTTGCTGTGATTTGTAAACAAAGGATCCTGCCGGATCGTGCAGATTCTGTCTGAGTCAGCATTCGGATGTATTGGGTAGCCGAGACTTGGGGATATAATTCTTTACCGCAGAGGGATGCACTGGGCTTGACACACTGAACTCTTGTGGAGAAGAGCGCCCATTCCAAGGATTCAAGGATATTAAAGGATTGTTTCACTTAACAAAAGTTCTTCAAGTGGCAGAAAGCTGTGGGACGCAAATCCAGCACACTTCTCCTTTGAACATGTTGCCCCACCTTGTCCTGTTGGTAGAATGAACGACTGTTCAACGGTCCACTGTTGGCAGGTGGACCATGAAACGTCCAACATGATTACAATAAAGGGCATAAGTCGTTACATCAATACTTAAACTGCCAATCCACTTTGAGCCTGCATTAAGCATGTGTGTTTCTTTTTGAGTCTACAACATTGTATGGTAGACAACTTGTAGACCGACATGAACAATATTCATTCTAATTCATTCCCTCTTTCACTCCATCCAAATGGGCAGGTGGACTCCAGCTGAAGCGCAAAGCTGAAGGCGTGGACACGGCCGAGGAGCCACCCTTTTGGTTCCAACCAACGGCACCTCGGCGACGCCGATTCCGTTTTCGGTGCCGATGCCGTTGCGTCGGTGTCGTCACGGGGGTTGGTCAGAGACGGAACGCATGGGGGAGTACGGGCGATTGGCTGGGCGAACGCCAGGATAGCTTGATTAGCTGCATGGCTTTGCACTCTTTGCGACGCTTTGCGAACGCCCAGGAAGTCTGGGAGATCAGAGGTGCCGCGAGGGAGCTCAGCCCAGGGAGTCAGACTGCTGGTCACTAGTTTTTCTGCCAGGATTGTTGGAGAGCATGCGAACGACATGCAGACTGCTTGTTTGGATGAAGCACACAGAATCTGCAATAATCTGCACAGATCGGTTAGTATAAGTCTACCCTGCCAGCTTCTCAGTACCGCGGACTCTTTAGCGAACCGAGGACATTACCATCTCCCCGAAACATATGGCGGCGAAGGGCCTCGTGGACAGCAAGAAGGGCCTGTCGCTTCGCTTCCCTCGCTTCATGCGAAAGAGAGAGGACGGGGCCGGTTCAACCGAGCTGGGTGGGTGAAACATAGATAGAGTCCGTTTACAGGGGAAGGCAGGAGGAATGATTTGACGATTTGTTATTATTTGCTTGCAACATGTTGTACAATTATTGCTATATCTACTATTAAGATCTATTAAGTTATAAGTCAGCGTGGCAGTGACCGTGCTTGGTGACGGACGACTGCTGGAAAGCAATGATGCCATGTTTCCTTCATGTATTTTCCCCGGGAAGAGCAAACCAACCTTGCAGTCCAAAATTAACTGGTTGATTATAACAAGGATATGGTTCCCACTCCGATGAACGCCAATGATTTTAAGTTGGACACAGAGACACCGAGTGCTTCGATGCCATCGTCCCACACATCGCGCACCGCACAGGACAAAGGTCTGGTGGATGCCACCAGCCCTCAGCAATTGGCCGAGCTCTTTCGGAAACAGGGCCAACACCGCGCCTGGGCGTTTGGTAGATCGGATGGCGGGCAGTTTGGGCAGTGGTATGCAGGCGCAGAGGTCTAGTGGATCTGAAATATACAACATAGGAGTCATTGATATCAGGTTAGTTATCTGCAGATTAGAGGTAATGTAGACAAACCGACATGTTGTAGACACGCCTGTGAATACTTCCAACAAGAAACAGCCCTTACTTACACTCCAATCTCGTGGGAATCGTCTGTTCCACTTGCCCCAGAACCATTCCCACGCAGCAGATGTTCGCCCGACCACCATTATACGCGTGTGTATTTCAATAGGGTGGCCTCCAATCAGTCTACTGTATGTCCCTTCTTCCAGACAGTCTTTGGCCCCCTAATTCAACACACACACACACAACACGCACGCATGCACATATATATATATATATAAACTACAAGCACGGCCTCAGCATGCCCGAGCAAGAACCACCTGCACTGTGAGCGCTTCAGACTTTCCTCCTTTGACGTCTCGCTACAGGAGTCGCATGATGCACCACTTCTTGATGAGGCAGTTCTCCCGACCGGAGCTCGGAGGAGTCGAAATAGAGTCTACCGGAGCGAGCTGGGGGTCTTCCGGGGTTCTCCCTATTCATTCATCCCTATACACCTTCACAGAATTACTGTACTGGTTTCGGTAATCGATATCCTCCGATCGTGCCGTGTTTGGGGTCCTTAAACCAGTTCCCCCACAGTCATCGGGGCGGAACAGAATGGATCAAAGGTTCTGAAAGCTTTTGCTGGTGATTCTTGAGCTGCTTGGAATTCATGTTGACCATTCTTCACCTAAATCAGTTTCTGCGGGGGTTCTGAATGTTATTGGTGTCAGGCACACCCTGGGGTCAATCGTCTTCACAGTAGTGGTCGGTCATAAAACTGTCACTATACCGGGGCAAAGGCCTTTCTATATAAGCCGTTTCTCACCATCACCATCTCCAGTCATAGCGAGGATCGAAAACCCAAGTCAAAACGTCAGACTGCCAAGAGAACCATGTTCACGCTGTTAGATGCTTTTGGCTCCTGAAAATCGTCGAGGATTGCCAAAGAACCTTACCACACACCGTCTCCCCACTGAAACAGCGGGTCTTTTCGCCGGCGATAGCGGTGCTACCCCGGTTGGTGCAGTCCAGATGGCCTGAGGGAGGAAATCGTCCACGCGAGGTGACCGCTGGTTTGCGAAGAATCGCTGAAGAAAATGCAAGCGAGTCGCATGCTGGGTTCAAAGCAGGTGGAGAGAGTGTGGTAACAAGATTAAACAAGCTCAGTGAGTTATGTTGTTTATTTGCTGGAATGCTGGAATGCTGGCAGATGACATGAAGGGTTCCTTGTTCGAAGGATTTCGTGCAGGTCCATACATCAGAAACATCAGAAACATTAAAAACATCAGAAACATATTACTGTATACATTCATGGGTCTTGTCACGTCCAGTGTGCCGAAGTTCAGCTTGGGCAGAACGTTGTAGCTTGAGCTACCTGAGTTCTCCTTGCTTTAGCAAAAATGCATTACAATCAGGAGTTGGTGATTTGCATTGAGTTTGGTCCTGTAAGAAGGGATTCTATTCGACGGGGGGGCCCTGGATCAAACCCCCCCCTGCGCCGTCGCTGTTTGGGTCACATCCATCCACCTTTGACGCCGTCATGGACTTCTACCAGGGTTACTTGTGATTGCCTGCTACCTTTCGTTCACCCTCTATTCTCTCAAGTGTGAAAAATGGGCATGACCTCTATAGTGTTGCAACATGAGTACCGGACAGAATTGCTGTAAGTAAGCAGTAGTCTTCGGCTGTTGTAGATCATTATGGATCTCTCGACCACAGGATATCACATGGTCACCAGTTGTTCGCGTTAATTATTAGTTGATGTCTACAGGCTTCTACAGATGTTTCTCAAACCAAACACATTTCACAGCGACTATCCGGCTTCTTCAAAAGTGTCCTTGCTTGGAGTCCCTAAGTAAGCCCCCAAAAAGACGCAGACCTTTTCGTGACCGCACTTTCCATGGTATCCAGTCACTTAGAACAACCAGGATGGGCGCGGCAGGAATTCGCTTCAGCCCTTTAGGGGCCTTTGTCGGGTAAAGCCGACCGCCCCGGGCTCCAGGTGGCCATGGCTCAGGCCTTGGCGAAGCTGTGCAGCTCGGCACAGGCGCCGGGACACATGCAAAGGTGGAACTTGGGTTGGGTGTTTCCAGTTCCCAGATTCCAACTTTCCCTTCCCTAGCGTAGTCCCTAGCGTATCCTAGCGTCTTCTTTTTTTCTCTGAATCAGTTTTTGGGTTCCCACAAGCGGATTTGGGGTTCCCTCGGTGATTTTGGGTTCCCGCAATCGGTTTTATTTAGGGTTCCTGCCGTTATGTTTCCGCGAAAGCAACTGTGTGAAGCCTGCGAAAGCTCGCGAAAGCGCCCTGCGCAGCCTTCCATTTTTTGAGCTGCGAAAACAACTTGGCACATGTGTATTAAATTATATAATATAGGTACATATAGGCAAGGATGTATCAATCGCACATGCGCAATCTCAACACTTCATTCCAGTGTAGTTGCTGGAGTTGTGCATTAAAATTTTGGTCGAGCAGCTTTCTCCTCAACTTTGGTTTTGGATGGAAGCAAGAAGTTAAGATTCGTGTGAAATAGTGCGGAAACGTGACATGTTCAAGTGTGAAGGATGATTTTGCTGCGGAGGTGTGAAGTCGACGCTTTGTGTCACTGTGCTGGGGTTGGCATTCGCAGGGTGGTCTTACGATTGCTGTTGCAGGAACCATAACAAAACAAAATCTATAAGCTGATCTCCGCGAAAGCACCTACAGCACCTGCGATAAACATGTGCATCCCGTAGGCACCCTTTGCAGCCGCGAAAGCTTTGGCGAAGGTTCTGTTTTTGTGTATAGGTCCCAAGCAACAAAAAAGACGATCAGATGCCCTTTATCGGGCCTGAGCGGGGCTGCTTGGCATCCTGGGTGGATCGGCCTGAAACTGGCGTGCGTTTGACCAAGCCACCGGCTTCGCCAGGCCAGGCGTCGCAGTGAAGAGCGCTGGGGCGGCCCAGATGCTCCAGTCCTGGCAGGAAGAGCTGGCGATGATGTGTACATTCCTAAAGTCATCACGGAAGTGGACGGCACCACCATGCACCACGTGTGTAGAGGATTTCATGGCCATCCTTTCGGGGCCAAAGATGGTTCTTCGTGTTCGGGTCCCCATCCCCTCGCAGATGGGTTCCTTGCTGGTCCAGCGATTGGACCAAAACCATGGGAGAGTAAAGCACCCCTGGCTGGCTCTTCACCCGATGCACTGGACTCCAACCGAGCAAGGTTTTGGATGGAGTCTTTGAGTCTAGAGCCATTCTCTTGGGCCCATGCTAGCTGCTAAGCCACACAAGCTGGACATATGGATTCTTTTGGACATATGGACATTACCTGTTCAGCAGAGCTTTGCCGTGAGCTTTGGACCTGCAGCTGCTTCAGATTTTCCTTGACCAACCATGTTATGCAGCCTTCCAGTTTCAAGCCCGCCAGCATCCTTTGCGCACACTACTTTGCAAGGCATCCACATCATGGGAGACGGAGACGAATAACTAGTGTATGCTTGACGGTCATGTTACATTGTCATATTCCTAGCCTTAGTCCGTTGCCGTTTGTGCTTTGAAAACCAGTTGACCTTGGAGGCTATTCAGCATGTTGAACTTTTCTGAGGCCTCAGACCCTTTTTTAAAACAGTTCTTGCTTACTTTGGTGCATGATTGATGCTTGTTTTCATGTTCCGAGGACCTTTCCGAAAGCGATGTCGCCTCCGTGACGTTGGCCATGTGACCATGTTTTTCATGTGCGAATCGCATGTGCCATTCTTGTGGTCCGCCCTCGGGGGTGAAAGTGTTTTGAGCCCACCATCGGTGGCCCACGGCCATAGCCTGGGCCACATGGGATTGTGTTAGGACATGGAGCTATGAGCTGCTTGATGGTGATTTCTGTGACTGTGGTGATGCTACTTGAGGGTGATTTTGTGCACATGGGTCTTTTCACCACGACGTGTTCACCCGACCAACCACCACCCAACCCGGTACTCGCGAGTACCGAATAGTACTGATGGCGATGTAGGGTGATGAAGCTACGGTGAAGTACTGTGACGCGGAACGCGGAACGCTGGGAGGAGCGGTGGTTGGTTGTTTTGGGAGATTTGTAGGGAGGGGCGTGTCTTTTTGTTTTTTCGGGATGTATTTTCATTGTGTTTTTGGGATTCTGCTTTTGCTGTTTTTCTGCTTTTGTTGCTCTTCTGCTTCTGCTGCTTTTTTTGCTTTTGTTGCTTTTCTGCTTTTGCTGCTTTTCTGCTTCTGCTGCAAATTTTGCTTTTGTTGCTTTTCTGCTTTTTGGGTTTTTGTCTTTCTGCTCTTTGCTTTTGTTGCTTTTCTGCTTTGGCAGCTGTTCTCCTTTCTCTTTTAGTTTTGGCTTTTCCATTTGTTCGCTTTGTCGATCTATTTGCTTTTGTGTATTCCTACCTATCACAGCAGTTTGGTGCAGTTAGCAGAGAAACAGCTGTCGTAGCTGGCAAAATCCATTGGAACTGTGCTGGTTTCAAATTGATTGCAGCTTGGTCGACATTTCACACAAGAGCTGTGATGGATGGCGAAGAAGAAACCAAACAAGAGCACGAGCTGCTCACCTTTGGATCTGGTGTGCTGCTGGGGGGGCGCTGCCCCCCCGGGCCACGAAATCTGCACTTCATCTCCGACACCCGCGCCTGCCACGAAATCAATTTTTTAAGGTGAGCTGCCCGGGGCAAAAACTTCTAACCAACCAAATATATGCCTCCTGTGCTAGTTATCTTTCTCTTTGCTGCTTCTCTGCTAGCTGCACCAAACTGTTGTGATAGGTAGGAAGTTCTCTGACACCTACACTATTCCAATGCATTTTGCCAGCTACGACAGCTCCCAAATTACTGTAGTCTAATCAGCTAGCAATTAGTATGAAACCTACACTATTCCAATGTATTTGGCCAGCTACGACACCTGTGTCTCTGCTAAGGACATGAAATTTGCTTGCTACGACAGCTGTTTCTCTTGAGTGTCAGCCCCGCTGCCGAAACTGTTTCTCTTTCAAGCTCAGCCACTCAACCCGCCTTGGTCCGCAGTTCCTTTTCCCAGGTTGCCGTAAATAGCAGCAAACTGTGAGTTCCAAGGATTTTGAAAAAATACCGAAAAATGAAACACATCCCGAGTTAAAAGTGCACCCCTAACGTTTGTACTGTATAGTGTGGTTCAATTGCGTGTGTCCAACACAAAGGCCTGCGTAACCAGCCAAATACATACAGCGTGCGTATTTCCGCAGCATTTGGGGACCGTGAGTTGCACGTCCGAATGTGACCAGGCTTCCAGATCTCACACAACCACTGGCCAGGTGGCCATCCCAAAAGTCGGGTGATTTGAACCTTACACGCACACACACACACACTTTGACTCAAAGTTCCGGTGAGGGAACATCAATTTCAGTGTGATTTCAGTTATGCAAAGCGCTTGACTCTAGAGTTAGAGTTAATGCAAACCGCAAGAGTGCTGGGTCCGGTGACTTGTAGATGTTTGAACAATGTGGTGAAAATTGAAAAGCAACGCTCAGCCGCTCGCACAGAGAGTTCGTAGGGAGGTAGGTTCCATAATGGAGCGAGACAAGTGAGCCGCTCTAAGTAGGTAAAGTAACAAAACCTCCTGTTTTGTTAGCTAGAGTAAACTAAAAGGAAAAAGAAACCTCCTGTTTAGCTAGGGAACAAGCGAGACTGACGAACCCTGCCTCCTGTTTTCCGGCGAGACATAAGAATCACCCACTAGACTAGAGCAGGTACATGAGACTGGCCAAGTCCCATATCCCGTATCACCCAGCTTCGTTGGTCAAGGTTGGTGATATCGCGCCTTGACCCCCTGCGAGTAATTAGTGGAAACAGAAACGAAAGGCCACCCCTCGAGACGGGGTGTGACACACACACACACACACCTATCACGAGCATTCACCAGCCGCACCGGAACCAGATGATCCGATGAAGACCTTTCAAGACCACCTCAGAAAAAGCGCCCCTTCGGCCTTCGGTCCGTTCCCTTAGGTATCGTATGCACGATGGAAAAGCACCCACTCGGTCCGTTGTCGCAAGGAACTCGCAAGGAGTTGTGCCTTTTGTTTACTTTTTTGTAACCCTTTTTGCGTGGCCGAATCTTCTTGGTACCACTCCGAAGCGAGATAAAGTCTCTGAGGATTGCAGTGTCGATCGGTGGACACCGGTGTGCGGTCCAGGTCGATGTTTGCAGCACGCATTTCATTGTTGGCTGCCAGCACGGTGTTTGTGGTGAACGCTTGCACAAATGGAACGCCCCAGTGGGACGAAGCAACTTGGCACATTGTTGACATGTTCAGAGTCTGCAAGGCATTATTGCCAGAAGGGGCCCCGTGGGAATAGATTGAATATAGATTAACCCTATAGAAACGCCATGATTTCTTCAATTTTCACCGATTATATAAATAAATAAATATATATATAAACAGGCAAATCTACTTTCCCAGAGGTCCAGAAGAAAACTTTGGAAATGAAAGTTTGTATAATCTTACTGAAACATATTTTAATTTACAGTAATGTGGTAGTAACTATTGCCAGAGATCTAGGTTATGGGACTGCAAGCATTCAGTGGTTTCTCATAAACATATTGATCAAAGGCTGATGTTGCACCAAGGGAGCCTTCACAGGATCGCTGATTGGAGGGTCGGTTGGTGGAATCGCTGTGGGAATCCTCGTGGCGGTGATTGCATCATTGCCCTTGTGCTGTGGAGTTCTCAAGCAGTTTGGCAAGGCACGATCGGTCGCGAGATGTTGCAAG